ACATGCGTCACCAGAGCATGCACGCCTACACACTTTGGACATCAGACGGGCTCTCGCCTTTTACATCAAGAGGACCAAACCATTCCGTGCGACGGATGCATTATTAGTATCAATGACGGACCGTTCTAAGGGTCGCCCACTGTCCGCCCAACGCATCTCTTCTTCCATCGTACAGTGCATAAGGTCATGTTACGAACTGCGTAAGAAACCACTGCCTTCAACTATGAGGGCTCATTCAACTCGGGCGGTGGCTACATCCACTGCTTTTCTCAAGGGAGTCCCCTTGATAGATATCTGCAGAGCTGCTACGTGGTCTTCCAATTTAACATTCGCCACACATTACGCTGTCCCAAACTTGATAATACCTGATTCCACGGTGGCGACAGCAGTGTTATCCTCAGCTACGGCACGATAGCTCCGAACCCTCCTCCATTCGTGAGCTACTGCTGTACATTCACCTACAGTGGAGCACCCACGGGACACTGCTCGAAGAAGAAAAGGAAGTTACTCACCCTGTGCAGTAACGTTTGTTCTTCGAGATGCGTGTCCCGTGGGTGCTCCACGACCCGCCCTCCTCCTCTCTTCGGAATTTATTATTATTTGTAGAATGTATTATTATTTGTCTTTCAGACTAAGAGGCAGGAGGAACTGGCGGGAGCCGGACCAGCGCTGCTCAAACGGCGCGAAAAGCCACGAGCCGCACTTCGCGCATGCGCGGTCCGGCAGACTACGGCTAGAAAGATCTCCGATCTGCGGCGCCGGGACAAGCCGACACCTACAGTGGAGCACCCACGGGACACGCATCTCGAAGAACAAACGTTACTGCACAGGGTGAGTAACTTCCTTGTACCCCCACTACGTCACAATAGTATACTTAGATTTTCAGACAGCCTTTGACAAAGTCCCACACCAAAGGCTCTTGTGTAAATTACATGGCCATGGGATAAGAGGGAAGGTCCTTCCATGGATTGAGAACTGGTTAAAAGACAGGAAACAAAGGGTAGGAATAAATGGTAAATTTTCAGAATGGAGAGGGGTAACTAGTGGTGTCCTCCAAAGGTCAGTCCTAGGACCAATCCTGTTCAAGTTATTCATAAATGATCTGGAGAAAGGGGCAAGCAGTGAGGTGGTAAAGTTTGCGGATGATACTAAACTGTTTAAGATAGTCGAGACAGAAGCAGACTGTGAAGAACTTCAAAAAGATCTCACCAAACTGAGTGAGTGGGCAACAAAATGGCAAATGAAATGCATGTTGGAAAAAATAACCCCAACTGTACAAATATGACATGATGGGGGCTAATTTGGCTACGACAAATCAGGAAAGCGATCTTGTTGGGGTTCTCTGAAAACGTCCACACAGAGTGCAGCGGCGGTCAAAAAGGCAAATAGAATGTTAGGAATTGTTAAGAAAAGGATAGAAAATAAGACCCAGAATATCTTACTGCCCCTGTATAAAACTATGGTACGCCCACATCTGGAATACTGTGTACGGATGTGGTCTCCTCACCTCAAAAAAGATATTTTGGCCTTGGAAAGGGTCCAGAAAAGGGCAACTAAAATGAGGGGTTTGGAACGGGTCCCATATGAGGAGAGGCTAAAGCGACTGGGACTTTTCAGTTTAGAAAAGAGGAGACCGAGGGGGGATATGATAAGAGGTCTATAAAATCATGAGTGGTGTGGAGAGGGCTGATAAAGAAAAGTTATTTATTAGTTCCCATAATAGAAGAACTAGAGGACACCAAATGAAATTCATGGGTAGCAAGTTTAAAACTAATAAGCAAAAGTTCTTCTTCACACAGCGTGTAGTCAACCTGTGGAACTCCTTGCCGGAGGAGGCTGCGAAGGCTAGGACTGTAGCAGTTTAAAGAGAAGCTAGATAAATTCATGGAGGTTAGGTCCATAAAAGGCTATTAGCCAGGGGGTAGGAATGGTGTCCCTGGAGACGGATGGCACAAGACAAATCGCTTGATCATTATCTTCGGTCCACGCCCTCCGGGGCACCTGGCGCTGGCCACTGTCGGCAGACAGGATACTGGGCTAGATGGACCTTTGGTCTGACCCAGTACGGCCATTCTTATGTTCCAACAAGTGGTGAATGCTGAACGCAGCAGGGGCACGTTAACACCTTTGACTCCTTGGCCCTCCCTGTTCCATCCAGCTGAATGCGCCAGTACACGACAGCCTGTCCTCACCTTCTCGCAGGCCCCGGGCCACAGCATGAGACGCAGCAACACAGCGTCCAGTTGGGAAAACCCAGCAACAGTGCATCAGTCAGGTGACCTGTAAGTAAAACACCCCTGTGGCGCAGTCCCCGCTCAGGCCCCTTGGTTTGGGACACCTTCTGGTCCACGAATCAGCCAGAGAGCCTTCCGCTGCGTCACCTGGGCTTGTATTGTCCGTTCCCCCCGCCTCCTGTGTGCAAAGCTTCCAGTCAAGTCAGTGCCTCCATCTGCCTGGGCGCACACTCAGCCACATCCTGGCTCCTGGCTCCTCCTTGCCCTCTCCTGGCTTCCTTCCTCTGCCTTACATAGCCCTCGCCCAGTGAGGCTCACAGCTGCTTCTAACAGCCCTTCAGGCCTGGGCTTGCTCAGCCGTTCCCCCTCGGCCTCTTTAGCCAGGCTACCGTGGCAGAGCGCTGGCTTAGCCAGCCGTCTGTCACAGCCCCCTCGCTATCTCGGTCCGGTGGCTTTTGCCTCAGTTTCCCCACCCACCTGTGGGAATGACCAGTGAACAAATGTTCTCTGGTCCCATGTCAGTGACATTCCCGAGGCTGGGGGTGTGTCCCGGCAGATCCGGCTCCGTCCCTCGCGGAACGCCCAGCTGGGACTGCGGCAGAGAGGCCTTGCGGAAACGCCACCTTTGCTCTTGCCACAGCGCAGGGGCTGCTCCAGGTGGGCTGCTCACAGGCTGTTGTTGCTTCCACAGTCAAGTATCTCTGACCTCGGCATAGTTCACCCGACCTGCGATCACTTTGTACACAGAAATGCACAGCATGCACCACACTGGAGCAAAGTCCCAACCCCCGATCACAGGCGCCTTCTGCACCCAGCTCTTCCTGCCTCGTTCCCAGCTGCAGGGCAGAGCGGGGCGGGGATTTCGGGGGCTATAACTAGTCCCGCTCCCACTGGGGGTGGCACTGCCAGCCGGAGCAGAGGCAGACGAGGGGCTATGGCTGGCCTGTGTGTGAGCAGGGTGCTGGTGACAGGGGCCAATCGGGGCATCGGCCTGGAGCTGGTCAGGCAGCTGCTGGGGAAGGCCAACCCACCAGAGAGGGTCTTCGCCGGCTGCCGGGACCCA